CACTTGCACAGACTGGTTTGTAAAAGTTGAAAGTCAGATTACAGCTGACCTCTAGTAGCTTGAAAAAATGTATTAAAAAGAGAAATGTACTTCCAAGGTTGAGTGACAATTGCTGCAATCAGAATTATGTAATTAGAAAATAAGTATAGCCATTATATGACACGTGTCAAATTCAAGGCCCGCGGGCCAAATGTGGCCTGCTGGTGACTTCTTTCTGGTCCACCAATGAGTCCCATCAAGATAATAAAACTTATTCAGCCCCTGAGCTGTTGGCTTTGACTCACTGTTTGCAAAATTGTTTTTTTTTTTTTTATTTTAACTGAGAAAGTTATACTTAGAAAAACTGAGCACTGAGCTCATAAAAGAGGTCAAACTGAACTCAGGCAAAAATGTGAACAAACTAACTGTCTGACACAGGAGTATACACACTGGCTGATCAGACCATTACAAAACAATTAGGTAATTAAATGATACAATCGCTAACTACAAGAAAACACCACAATACAGTTAAGTTTTTAAATAAAATAAACACCAAAGAAGAAAATCAAAAACATTAAACTCTAAATGTAAATAGTATTCAATTAAACACAAAAGCTTGTTTAAAAAAAGAAATGTTGCCCCCCTTCAGCAGGAACTGGTGGTGCAGTCCAGTGATCCACTTCCTGTATTTAAGTGTGTCAAGCCCCGCCCACCATCTTTTGTTTGACAACTCCCAGGGATCACAACAGGTAAGAAACCAGAAAAAGRAACAAAACCAATCATAGCACAAAGAAAAATTAACAATGAGTTGTGAGAAGGTAATAAAATGTGCTCTCTGACAAATATTTTATTACAAACTAAAGTTTCAATGTGTTTGGATGAACAAACAAATGACGATGCACAAGAGTTACAGACCAGTGTAGTGTGGCCACACAKTTGGCCATCACAAACATGAAACATCAGAGGTAATTTCAATCAACCCTGTGAGTAGGCACTTCGATAAACGCATTGTCTGACCCTAAATGTTTGATCTAACTTGTTTCTGCTTTGGTTTGAAAATTTTTTGCAAAACTGTGACACGCTGTGTGTCTTTGGTGTGATTGTTTTTATGGTGTAAAGGAAGTAATGCTGGACCTGCTTCCTAATTTTCAACCGTAGATGACCTCTAAATCTTTAATGGGTGGTCACATTTTAAACAAATTAAACAGTTTTGTATTCAGCACATGAATAAAAAAAGGAAAAACAGGTTTGAAATAAGTTTGAAAGATTTATCGAAGACCCTAACTAT